TTATGCTTATCCAAAATTAAATATAATACAATTTTCAAATAAAACTAAATCTATACTAGACTACGACAAAGCTCGAAAAAATCTACAAGAAAATAATCTGGCTAAGTTATTAGAATGTTATGACCCTAACGTACTAACTGACTTTCTCTTGCAAAATATAGCTAATTCTATAAAAACAATATTATTACTATTAAAATTCCGAAGAGTAAACGTATCATAAAACCATGGATTACAACTGGTATTCTTAAGTGTATTATAGTAAGAGAAATAAGTTACAAAAGAATTTAAGAAAAGACCCACACAATGAAATTTTAAAAATAACCTACTTAAGATATAGAAATTAGTGCAATAATCTAATTAAAAAGCTGAAAGGAAGATATGAAAGAGAACAACTTGCTAAATCAGTTTCAAATAATAAACTACCCTGGAAAAATATAAAAAATATAACAAACTCGAACCAATCGAAAAGCCAAAACACAGAATTATTACCTTATGAGTACTTTGTTAACATTGGTAAACAACTTGCTCAACAAAAAAAAATCAAAGATATTGCCTTGCATGACTCATATAACCTTTCTGACACACTGCCTGCACTGGGAAATTCCTTCACGCTCCTTGACACAGATCATGATGAAGTGGATAGAAACTTGATGAGCCTAAAATCTAACAGTGCAGTGCAGGTTGGGATATGATTTCAACAAAGTATTTAAAATTTGTAAGATATGAAGTCGTTTCTATTATAACTCACCTTTGTTTTAATAAGGGGATATTCCCTACCCTGTTAAAACAATCTATTATTATTCCGGTACATAAGGCAGGAGATAGGACGGAATTGAATAATTATAGGCCCATATCCATATTACCTAGCATATCAAAATTTTTAGAAAAGCTTATTACTCGTTTCGTTCGCTTCGTTCTAATACTCGTTTAGTAAATTTTTTAAATAAATATAATACTTTGTCTCCTTCCCAATTTGGATTCAGAACGAGCAAATCCACAGAAGATGCTGTAACTTCCCTAGGCTCGCTAATAATTGAAGAAATTTATAATAAAAATAAATGTTTAACAGTGTTTCACGATATCAAAAAATCCTTTGACACCGTCTCTGTCCCGATACTAGTAAATAAATTGGAAAAGGTTGGTATATAACTCTTTTTAAAAGCTACCTCTCTAATAGGAAACAGAGAGTAAAGTTGGAACAGTACTTAAGTGAATATGCAGAAATAACATACGGAGTTCCACAGAGAAGCGTTTTGGGTCCTACATTATTTCTTGTATATATCAAAGACCTTTATAGCCTAAAAATAAAATACGCAAAAATCTTCTCCTATGTTGATGATACTGCAGTCGTCTTCTCTGGAAATTCCTGGCAAGCTGTGAAAAATAGTGCCGAAAAAGGGATAGCTGAAATAGCTACTTGGTTAAAATATAACTTGCTCTCGCTGAACACAAATAAAACTAACTATATATATTTCAGTATCTACAATAAAAATCAACCTGATGAGAGATTTAGTATAAGGTTCATGATTGTTGTAACACCGAGGATACAAACTGCAACTGCCTGATCATTAATAAAGTTACCCATACAAAGTAGATATTGATTGAAATAGATTTGGGTCTTTCGATCATTAAGGCATGTGGTTCCAGGTAATAATAAAAAATTATGACCGAGAAACATCAAGAACAATTTTGAATGAGATATATATCGCCTTGTTTCAATTTGTCTTGGAATATTGCATTCCTGTTTGGGGAGAGTTTATAGAGGTTGAAAGAGAACAATGTGCGCTTATTAAAGTTATGAACTTTAAAAATATTAGATACCCCACGGAAAGGCTTTATCTCGATAGTGGGCTACTTTCGATAAAGAAACTGTATATAAAACAGATCACACTAAATAAACACAAAAATATTTTATTTTATTCTTATTGGAAAACTTACAGCTAACATTAACAGTAAATAAATGAATAACAACTAGAAGGCCATTTAAAAGTTTTCACCTATAGGCAATATGAACTTAAAAACAATAATTCTAGTCGGTAAAAGATAAATATCGATTAAGACAAATACAGTTAATTAACTAAATTATACAGAAAAACACTCAACAAAAGAATTTTTCGCTAAAATATTTTTGATTCGATTTTGATATAGCCTAAGATGCAAGTAAAAAAGGAAAAAGAAGGAAAAATAATGTACCTGCAGTACCCCAAACTAAAACTAAGCTTGCTAGTACTCTAGTAATATAATAGTCGTTCGTCTCAAATTTATAATAAAATCAATAAATAACTAGATATTTATTCGAAACATGTATATCGAAATATATAATGAAATGAAATGTAAAATGAAAAATATAAAAAATCGAATGTAAAAAGGTAGTACATAATTGGTTAGTCACTTAATTATGGGAACACTGAGTTACTTTTACATACAGTAACATAGTACACACACATACACACACATACACACACACACACACACACACACACACACACACACACACACACACACACACACACACACACACACACACACACACACACACACACACACACACACACACACACACACACACACACACACACACACACACACACACACACGCACGCTTTCGCATACATAAACAAATATCATAATCAGAGGAATAAAACTGTAAATACTCCCCTTTAGTCTGTAAGTTTTTCTTTGTAATATCATATTTCATTATGTATATAATATAATATATAGATATTTATATGGAAGAGCGGATTCACCTAATACAAGCATTATTTGCTTAAAAGGAGAATCTGGCCACTAATGTCTGTAAACCAATTCTATTTGCTGAAATAAATTTATTGGGGTATCTATATAATTTTTCCACCTGGTTGGGTTCTATAAATATATAATTATAAATTAAAATGAAAAGTATCATATATATTTATATATCAATAAAATAATATAAATTCAAAAACTACATAAATAAATAAGTTCCAACCAGATGGGAGCCCTCGGCAGGGGAGACCAAACGGCCGAGGGTTAGGGGGAAAGGTAAAGAAACCGGCGGACGATGCGGGCGGTATCGAGGAGCACCGCCTTCTGCATTTGAGTCCGGAGCGGTCCGTCACGGAGTCCCAGTCACCTCATAAAAAGACCCCGGTGAGCCAGGTCCAGATATTTTGTTCGTTTATCTGTTTCGGCTCTCACGAGGTTCTCATCATACGGAATGGTAATTTCGACCAAAAATATCTTTGACTGTGCCCAGTCCATCAGCACAATATCAGGCTTATTTGCAAGAATAGTCCTGTCTGTGATGATGGTCCGGTCCCAGTAGAGCCTGGCGCGGTCATTTTCAGAGCTCCTGGTGTAGAATTCTGGTTACTAGGTTGTGCCTGTGCAAGTACTCAGAGTTATAAAGCGCCGAACAACCGGAGATGACACGCTTAAGTGACTTTCCGGGATGGCGACAAGCTTGACAGACGTCGATAGTGCCATCCTTTAGGATGTATCACCGATAGTTGTTGGTCTTAATAACCTGATCCTGTATTGCACAGACAAAACTCTCGGTTTCCCCGATGATGTCACCGAAACGTAGCCAGTTGAGGGAGGCGGCTGTATCTACGTGAGGCTCATATAGAGCTCTGTAGTACCTCCCGTGGAGCTCCTTCTCCTTCCATACGGTCTCCCGGTCGGAAATGCTCTATACTGCCGGGTCTTGCCATTGCTCATTGGCTAAGGATAGAGGGGTAAGTCCTTCATCACTAGAAATGACGTCATTATAGAATGGATCATCCGATCTCGCCAGGAAGTAATGACGGAGGCTGCACACTTCGCGGATCGCGGTTCACACCGGACAAAAGGCTGTTAAGCATTTTGGTCAAGCGTGTATAAAACACCTTACTTGACCCTTAAGTTGACGAGCATAGATAAGTCTATGCCCTCAGAGTTAGCAACCCTTCCCTTTCAACATGGAGGACCGCACACTTATCCATCCCCAGCTCCATTCTAATATAATTACTAAATTCACAAGTGATGTTTAGCAATTCCATAAAATGGGAGCGACTGGAGGCGAATAACTTGAGGTTATCCATATAGAAAAGGTGGGTCACTTTTGTACCTCCCTTCCGAAGCTGAAATCCCCTCCCGGAGCCCTCCAGTAAAGTACTGAGAGGGTTCAAAGAGAGGCAGAACCAGATTGGACTCAGACAGTCGCCCTGGAATATACCCCTTCTTATCCTTATGCGGCTTTCTCAGCCGTCATCCGCTCGCCTAGATGACAGAGGATCGTACTCCACTGCCCCATACACTGCTCGAAGTCTCGAACTGTACAGTCAATCTTCTACAGCTCGAGGACCCTCTTTAGCCACGTATGGGGCTCCGAGTCAAATGCCTTTCTGTAATCTATCCAGGCGGTGGAGAAGTTCCGACGGTTGCGTTTTACCACTTTGCCAATGACCGCGTCAATGAGAAGTGGTTCCTTGGTTCCACGACCGCCGCCCTGACATCCATTTTTAGCGCGCGACATCACCTGATTTGAGTCCAGATGACAAGCGATTCTCGCGCTCAAAATGGATGTTAGTGTCTTGTATATGGTCGGTAGACACGTGATGGGGCGGCATTTGCTCGGGTCTGTGGCACCCTGATCTTTAGGAACCAAATGAGTGATCCCTGTAGTGAAGAGGCTTGGGAGCGACTTCTGGTTGAGAGCCTCTTGAAACTGTCGGGCGAGCACAGCGTGACACACCATGAACCCCTTCAGCCAGTAGTGATGCAGCTCGTCAAGCCCCGGACTTTTCCAGTTCGGGGCCCTACGGACCGCCTCAGCTACGTCATCCGGCGTTATGATGACGGGGTCCATGCGCGTAATACCCGCACACTGACTCGCCACAACTTCCGTCCAAGGGCCCTCGTTGTGGTTTACGGGCTCTGACCACAAGCTGCGCCAGAATGCGACCGAGTCGGCCTGATTTGGTGTTGAGCCCGTTCCACTTACCATTGGTCGCTCCAATGATTTATAGAGCCTCTTCTGATCACTCTGGAAGAGATGATTCTGGTTGAACCGTGTCGACCTCTCGGTATATCGCCGAATCCGCTTTCCCCAAGCAGCGATTCTCTGCTTCAGGTCGTCTATGCGCTCCGTCAGTTTTTGCATTATATCCGGCTGGGACAAAATAACATTTGTCCCAGCAAACGGCATCCTGACGGCCTGGCCTGGTATTGCCTGACCTGAAGCATATCAGTCTGCCGGTGAGGGCCCTAGCCTTTGCGATACGTTCTTCAATTCTTATTCTCCTGGCTGGCATAGCACTACTTTGTCCAGTAGCACGTCCATCCATGGAAAGTTTGGCGCCTATAATACGGCAGACTGCCAGTGCGGCGCCAAATAGAATTGAGTCCGTCTCGCAAAGGTCCCGGCTGGTTTCCAAATAGGTCACCAGCATTGGGTTCAGAGCCCTCACGACACCCCGATTCCGCTTGCTTAGTAGGTATTATTATTATTATATTAGCCAGGTCTTATTATTATTATTAATATAATTAGGAATTTGACCTCGTGATACGAGGTCACATTTGGAATCCAAAAAAAAAAAGAAATCCGAAACATGCTTTGACTACTTATTGACTATGTTACGAGTATATTGTTAGGTAGTAGAGACACAATACACGCTGCATCAACAGTTTGGTTGTAGCATAAATAGGTCGGCAAGACCGCAGAAGGACCACGCTCTTACAGAATATCGCCGCAAAATAGATGCTGTTACTGATATCTAGGGAATATATCTTATTCCTTAAGGGTGAAAACGCATCTACATTTTCATTCTTAATCGAGGGTAGATGTATATATATATAAATGCAAACGTAACTAATTGAGATAACTCGTTATTGTTGCGTATTTAAAATGACTGACATCTGTAGCTTTACCGTAACCCGTACCTTTAACTACAGAGCATTATTTTTGCTGCCGCCATTTAGACATATTTCAGCGCTAACGGACCGCAGTTGAAAATATTCCGAAAAAAATGTTTTTTCGTATAATTGTTAGGTGTTTTGAAGTGAATCGTAAAATTATTAACGTTAAGTCGTTATTTATGCATTTGTTTTATCTTACACTAAAGTTAAGTCTAGTTTTTAAAGTTGGCTTCGTTCGCCCCATTAAAAACTGTAGGTTGGGTAATTCTAGCCGTTTTGTCAGCTGCAATTGCCTCTCTATTTTTATATGAACATGAAAAACACTAGTGATGTTAGGTGTCGACTTAAATATTGCAAGTATCGATACAAATCCAAAAATATTTTAAGTAGGTAATAAAAAAAACATTAAAGAAATTAGCATTTTTCACACAACAACTCACTCAAATAGGCAAACGCTGTCTGAGGTGTGCGACGTAACAAAATGGCGGTCTTAACAATGTTGGCAGCACCGCAAAAACTACTTTTATTTGGAGTTACGGTTGATTTTTATGACACTGCTCCATAGGAAACGACCAACCCGAACCGTACAGCTTTTCAAATGTTTTTATAAATGCCAATGTAGGCCTATGTGAAATATTTTTTTGATTTTTTATTTCACGGTTTATAACTAAACTTATATTGTCACTTACAGGATAACTTCTGTAATTGTCTAGTATTCAGAACGGCGCATACAACAGCGTTGTAATATCAGGAGCTCAGAATAATAGACAATCACGGAAAATATCTCGTAAGTAACAGTATAAGTTTATGTAATAACTGCTCTTACATTGTCATAATTATAAAAACTATGCAGGTACAGGTTGTGAAAAAATTGTCAGCAATAACTTAAAGGGTTACTGAACAAGTTTCTTCAAGGAATATGGATAATTTTTTTTGTAGAGGTATGTTCGTGATTTTAAAATAAATGGTTCCTGCTGTCACGTTAATTATTTTCTGTTTGCTTATTTTGCATTTAAAAAGTCTGACTGGTATATCGGTAGTAATTAAATTTATACTCGTACTTTTAAGACATCTAAAGTTATCGAGACACATGTGCCAACACTAATTTGTATGGAGAGTAGCTCTATTTACCCCCTGGTAATATTTCAAATAATTTTAAAGCTAATTAACTTTCCCAAAAAGCATTAAAATACAAAATTAGCTAAATTTAATTGTACTCGACGTTTGCTGTAGAGTTTGAGTATTATAGATACAAAAACAAAGACATTATAGATGAATAGCTACATTTACCCCATGATGGAGTTAAATCTGACTATCAGCGGTTACAAAAAATAATTTGTTAAATTTAGCATTAACTATTGACTTGGCATAGGTCTGATTTCGTGTACATGATGAATAATACGTAACTACCCAAAAGAAGCTGTTTGTTATTTATTGATGTGAAAAATATTGAACTTAGACTTTGAATTAAATTACTAGTAGCTACAATAGCACCGGGTGGCCTTATATATAACTAACCAACTACAAACTAGTTCCTTAAAGTTTTATAAAGTTTGTTTTACTGGAAACCTCCGTTATACTACTGTCGAATAAAAGCTACAGTGAGCGCTAACAGTTTAAAAAGTAAATATTTATATTTAAATATTTTTTTTGACTTTACTTTTTTTATAGTGAATTAACTTATTTTATATCCCTGATGTTTCCAGTATTTTGTAGGACCCATAGTCAAGAGGGATTTGAGGTGTTCGACGTTCTGCTGTCGTAGTTAATCAAGGCTAATTATTTTTAATTGTAGGTAGCCGTAGTTAAATTTACCTAATTTGAAAGTCGGGGTCAATCGTAACACTCTTCGTTAGATTTGTTGTTTAAATATTATTAATTTAGCATAACACTGACATCCATAGTTCTTTTTTATTTATTTTACATACAAATATTTATAAACTTTTCTCTTATTTATTTGTTGTTTACCGACCTGTAAAAGTCCACTGCTAAACATAACTTTCTCCATAGACGTCTCGCATGGAGGATTTTGACGTGGCTGCCATGCTTGGCTGACGGGTAGGCAACCTCAGTTCCTTATTATTTTGAGTTGTTATCGGGAAAATGCTGCTGCCCTTCTCCTGTTTCAAATTTTCTCTATGACTCCTCCTAGACACCCACGGGACGATATAGAAGAGTGAGTGTACTATGCTGGCCACACGGTTGAGAGTGAATAGATCTTTAAAAATATTGTGCTAGATATTTGACATAATTTCTAATCCTGGAAATATGTGTAAAATTACGCCTCAGCCTCAAAGATAATCTTCGACGTCCCGCAGATCTGCTTTGATCGTAAGTATGTTTGGCAACTTCATTGATTTTAGGAACCAACTAGATAAAGATCAGGTACAACAAATAAATGCATATGTTTTAATTCGTAAACTATAAAAAGGTGAAATTAATCGTAGTAAAGCATCTATAAATCGAGTATATGGGCTACAGCATCCACTTACCATCAGGTGGACTGTGTGCTCGTTTGCTATCATTCTTTCTATTAATAATAAAAAAATCATTGCGCTATATTATTTCCATGAATAAATATTTTTATCTAGATGCAAAACGAATGAAATTTTCAATTACAAAAAATGGCAACGATGTGACGCGGGTCCACAGTCTTACAAGGCCCGTACGGTGTAACTTACATCACGTAGCGGTTCCACAGCCGCACGTGAGCTCCAGGGAGAGTGTTGTATTTTTACGAATCCTTTTCCGACTATTACCGTAAAGTGGCTTTGGTACTAGTGTCAGTTTATATAATACGCATTAGAGGATGAATAAGGCAGAAAATTCACGTTATTTTAGTGTTACTTTGTTAACTTTTATTGTGTGACTACTTTTATAGAATAAAGGCGAGCACATAGTCCACGTGACGGTGAGTGTACCTTGGCCCATACACCTTTAAATTTATCCTCAATTAAGATTAAAGTGCAGATGTGTTGTCACCCCTTAAGACAGATATGAAATGATTCCTTTGCAGTAAAAATGATCTCCGGTTTTCTACATCACCGTATGAAATACTTTAAACTGCTATTTTACATTGGTATCCTGTGAGAGCGTGGTCCTTTAGCACATGAGCCGACCAATTAGAATCGAATAAAATATAACCAATTTCATTCAATATTGATTACAAGAATACTTATTGAATGTAATTTATTAAGCTTTACCGATGGTTCGGAAAAAGATCTCTGGTGTGGGAAGAACTAGTAACAAACCCAGCGGGACTTTTTTAACCTTAATTTACAATATACATATCTTCACGCACAATCCCTAACGGGGTAGCCAGAGAGAACAGATCGCCAAGTGTCACGATCCTTACATACCTCTTTCGCTTCTTTCAGGTTCATTAACTTCTTCATACATGCACGTCTAGGTATCCGAGTACTCTTGATCTTCCCCTCTTCGAGCAATTTGCTCACATGGTCTTCGAAAGTTAGTCTCGGTCTACCCGATACCTTTTAATATTTACTTTCGCTCTATATATTTTCTTCACCATTCGGTCTTCACTCATTCGCTCAACGTGCCCAAACCATTGGAGTACGCCCCTATCAATTTTTGTGATAAGGTCATCTTTCAATCCTGCCATATTGCGAATCTCTTCGTTTCGCTTTCGATCGGCTATGGTAACGCCACACATTTTACGAAGAGATCGCATCTCCACTGCATTCAACTTGCTTTTATGCTTCTTCTGGCATTCCAGGTTTCGCTGCCATATAACAAAGTCGGTACCAACACTGTGTTATGTATTGCAAGGTGTGTACTCTTCACCATGCCTTGCCTTTTGACTAATGCATTCAGGGCACCATTGACTTTGTTTCCGGCAGCGACGCGCCTATCCACATCTAAATCACATCTTCCATCCCGGCTGAAAGCACTCTCCAAGTATACAATTTCATTTACCTGTTCTAGACGTTTTTAACCTTAATTTACAATATAATATTTCACACAATTACAAATAGCATTATAGTGATTACCGTTATAATCAATCATGTACTTTTTAGTAGTATAATGACCCTTAATAAACCATATTTACTTAACAGAAATTTTAAAGTTTTTGGTTAAAGTGTCCTGTATATTAAATGATTTCTTAAATTTACGCGAACACTACACATTGAATAAAACTATTATTTACGGATTTTATCGCGTTTAATTACTTTAATTTATTTTTATTATTATCCCGACGTTTCGGGTGCTTTACAGCGCCCATGGTCACGGGGGGGACTGAGATGTTTGACGTCCCAATGTCATTGTTAGCCCGGCTACCTTCAGTTTTTTGAATACTAATTTTTTACAAGATACTGTAAGTTCGTTTTGCGTAAATCGGACCAAAAATTAATTCTTCTTACTTACTTCAATCGATAGGCAATTTTTTTAAATTTCATGAACATTTATTTACAATTATTTGATCAAAGTAACTTACCTGTAAGTGTCATTTGATAAAAATTATATGAAGTAGACGCGTCCCCTATGTTTGTATACTATGTAGTCATGAGGGGAA